GCTCCTAATATCAATTTATAATAATAATAATAATTAGTCAATGAAATTTTGTAAAATAATAAATAATAAGACAATTATTCTTTGAGAAAAATATGTTATTAATTTAATAACAATACAGTTACCAGATTAATAACTTAATTGTTCCTGTGTTAGTCGCCTTTTACGACAGGGGAACAGTTCGTGGTACTATTCTTTCTAATCCGACAACCACACGGATAATTATTGGTCAATGAAATGTTGTTAAATAATAAAGGATAACAAATACTGGAATTCATTGTCAAAGAACTGCAGAAAAGTAAAGATGGTTTTCAGTTGAACGGGACAACACAATTGTTGACATACGCGGACAATATTGCTTTGTTAGGGGACAATGAACAGGCATTAATTAATAACACAAAAATATTAATAAATAATACTAAAGATCTGGGACTGCAAATAAGCGCGAAAAATACCAAATATATGATAACCGATAGAGTTCAGAATAGGCCTAGTACTGGAACTTTGGTCGTCCGGGATAAAACTTTTGAGCAGGTCAGCAACTTTAGGTATATTTAGAATCGATCATAAACCAGACGAACGAAATTAACGAAGAACTTAAAAAAAGAATCAATCTAGGCAATTCATGTTTTTATTCGGTTAACAAATTACTCAGCTCGCGGTTGCTGTTTAGGCGATTAAAAATCAGGATATACAGGACAATCATCCTGCCGGTAGTCCTTTATGGTACCGAATCGTGGTCGCTTACGTTACGGGACGAAAAGAAATTTAGGGTTTTCGAAAACAAAGTTCTTCGTAAAATGTTCGGTGCAAAACGCGATGAGGAAACGGGCGAATGAAGAAAACTCCATAACGTTGAAGTACATCGATTGTACAACAAACCGGACATTATCAACGTCGTAAAATCACGCTGATTAAGATGGGCTGGTCACGTGGCGCGCATAGGGGAGGATCGAACGGCGCACAAAATATTGGTCGGTATACTAAACGGGAAAAGACCACTAGGTAGACCGAGACGTAGATGGGAGGATAATATTAGAAGAGACCTGAAAGAAATAGGATACGAAGACCACGAATGGAAGGATTGCGTTCAGGGACGGGAACAATGGCGGGATTTGGTATTTCCGGCAATGAACTTTCGAGTTCCTAATGCCAGGTAATAATAATAATAATAAAGGATAACAAAAACTATTTCTTCAGAGAAATATATATATATATATATATATATAACTAAAAATATAACTCTATATAGTTATTAAATTACTATACTAATAACTTAATATAAAATAACTTTACAAAAAAAAAAAGAAAATATTTTAATCGATCGAATATTTTTCCTTTCTTCTCGTTTTATTGGATTTCTTTTTTACCAAGCGTGTTGTTACCACCAGTTATTATTAACGTGTATGTAAATGCAATCGTAGTTATACCGGGTGCCGATTTCAAATCTCCATTGAAATTTATTGCGTTTAATTTCCGTTAAAATATCGACCCTTTGTGGCGAACCACAAAAAAAAAAAAAGAAAAAAAGAAAAGAAAATCCTTGTATATTCTTCTTTTACTTTTACTTTACTGTTAACATTTATTCTATTAATATCTATTATTTATTATAGTAATATATTTATTATTAGTTATTCTATTTTTTCATTGCTATTTCTTTATATTACTTTCTGTTTTATTTTTTTGTATTTTATTTTTTTTTTGTTTTTTATCTGTGACATAATTATCGGAAAAATGTTTTCTAGCTGGGTTTTCTTCCATACGTCGTAGAAAATCTAATGCAGGGATTCTCTTTTGCACGCGTTTCTTTCTCACAATCGAATAGACTTTTAACCTTAGAAAGAGGATGAGGAAACAAACGAGAGAAAAAGGGTTGAAATAGGAGAAGGATATATAAGAAAGAAAAAAAGAACGAATAAAAGTAAAGAAAACAAGAGACGTGTGTGTATATTGAATAGAGGAAAATGTCCGTCCTATCGAAGTTGCTGCAGCATACGTAAGAAGCTTACGTTGCTAAGCTTTTTCTTTCCTATTTTATTTTTTATTTTTTTATTTTTTTTTTTTTTTTGATATAAAATAAAAAACAAAACAAAAAAATATCCAATGTACAAGTAACTTTACTTGCGAAATTTCTTTGCAACAAATTTCTACAAGGATTATTTTTAATCTCGTTCAATGACATTTATTATAGAATAAATGGAAATGGTCAAACTATTATTTGGGTTATCGATTTTAACGAAAACCTTCAGTTTAATTCGGGGATTCGTATACTCCTTATCGAATTCCTATGGGAGTATTATTAGTTTCACGAATATGTATGTATATATACGTATATATGTGTTTGTGTGCGAAGTATTCGAATGATCTTCTCTCAAAATGGAGAAACGTTCCACTTGATGTATTTCAGAACGCATAACTTTGATATATAAAGTAAAGAAAAAAATAGTAAAAGAATAAGAAAAGAGATAGAGAGAGAGAGAGAGAGAGAGAGAGAGAGAGAGAGAAGAGAGAGAAAGAGAGAAAAAGAGATTATGTTCGGGACAAGAATTTGAAATGTTTAAAACAATCTTTTCTCTTAAAAGTAGTGGTGGTTTGTGGTGGTGGGTAACCACCGTTAACACTTTGAAGTTTAATGATTCGTTTCACGATTGGCGGCTAGCCAAAACTAAATAATGAATATATATTTGATCCTCATTCTCAAACACACACACATACACACACACATATATATAAATAAATATAGAGTATTCTTTTAGGTTTTTTCTAATATTTTTATCGTAACCAATCATTATTTCGTGTATATGTTTCAATCAAAAATTATGATTGATTTTTTTTATTAGAAAAAATAATTTTTATAACGTACTATATATATATATAGTATAATTACTAGTCTATAAAGTTACTTTACATATAAAGTACTATATTTAAAGTTATTTTATATTAAGCTATATTTTATATTTAATTTCTTATTATTTATTTTATATTAAATTATACTATATATAATTATACTATAATATATATATATATATATTAGTGCATAAAGTTATTTTATATATATTAAGTTATATTTTATATTAAATTATATTTTATTTCATTATATATATATATATATATATTTAAAGTTATTTTATATTTAACTTTTTACTATTTTATTTTATATTAAATTATACCATATATAGATAATTATATATAGTATAATATATATATATATATAGAGTATATACTAGTACATAAAGTTATTTTATATATATATACTATTATGCCAAAATAATAATAATAAGAATAATAATTAAAAAAATATGCATTTGATAAAGAAATCACAATCGGAATTTTATTTTATCCCTGAATGGAAATATTGTCTTCCCTTTGAATAAAATAAACAATTTTTTTCCCTTCTCATCGAGGGACTAGAATAATTTACACTTCGATAATTTGATTGTAAAAGTTCGAACGTTTAAAAAGAAAAGAATAAAAAAAAAACCACTTTATTTTCATCGTCATCGACGCAGAAATGAAATGAAAGAATGAAATTCGACGCTTACAACCATTTCATACATGTGTGTGTTCGTGTGAATTTATTTCATTTGCTTTTGTTATATATATAT